GCCGCGCGGCGCGCGGCCGAGGCGGCCCAGCTGCGGGGCGTTCGCGGGCGGCCGCCGGGTCGTCGTGGTCGCGTTCTTCTTCGTCGCTGGCGTGCTCGTGGTGGGCAGGGTGCGCGGGAGTGTGGGCGGGCGCCTGGCAGGCCGCCTTGTGGTCGGAGGGGGAGGAGGGGGGGAAGGAGGGTGGGAGGAGGAGGGGGGGGGAAGAGGGGGGGGAGGAGGAGGAGGAGGATGGGGGAGGGAGGAGGAGGGGGAGGAGGGGGATGGAGGGAGGAGGAGGGAGGGAGGGTGCAAGTCAGGGATCGAGCGTCGGCGCCCTCGAGCGCCCGCGGTGAGGGCTCCCAGGGGGGCGGGGGGTGCCCGGGGCCGAGGCTCGGACCTCGGGGGCCCACCCTCCGGAGGCCTCCGGGGGAGGCACGGGCACTGGCCATCGCCCGGACGTCCATTCCCTGTCGTTTTTTCGGTAGGTAGGGGGGTAGGGGAGTAGGGTAGGGTTCGCATGCGGCCTCCGATTCGGGGACCCTCAGAGCACCGCACCGACCGCAGCATGGAGAGTCACGAGCCCGAGCGGAAAATGCGAAGACCGTCGCATTCAGGTCGGACCCCCCACACGCCCCACGGCACGGCACGGGGAAGGAGAGAGGGGGTGGGGGAGGATGGGGAGGAGGTGGAGGGAAGGCGGGAGGAGGACTGGGCATCGCTCGGACGTCCATTCCCTGTGTTTTTTTCGGTTTCGTGCGTGGTCTTTTCGCCAAATGATCAGGGATGCTCCTCGATGGTCCTCGCCGAGGGAAAAATGCACACGTCCGAGCGATGCCAAGGGCCTCCTGGGCAGGAGCAGCAGCAGCTCCCAGATCTGCGACGGTAGCAGAAGACTGGGCAGTCGAAGCCAATCTGGCGCCAACCTGGCAGGCCCGATCTGGTAAACGGGGGCAATCTGGCGAGGGAGCCAACGCGAATCCAGTCTGGCGAATAACCCAATCCTCCAATCTGGCCAGGCCAGATTGGCCCTTGGGGCCCAATCCAGTCTGCCAGTCTGGCCTTCGACTACCCAGGCAGCAGCAGATCCCAGATCTGCGGCGATAGCAGAAGAAGAAAGCACCACATGAACATAAAACTGTTTGCGCTCCGCTCGGATTTCTTGGATTCGCGCTGGACCCCCCTCCCTGGCGCCTCCGGCGCGCCAGGGGCGTCGCAGGAGGCGCCGCCAGGGGGCCCAGGCGCGGATCCAAGAAAGTCGCGCGGAGCGCCATTTATGTTTATGTGATTTGTCCTTCTTCGAGATATGTGGGATGCAGAAGATCATACTAGTACTGCGATTTCTGCTCGGAGGCGCACGTGCGACACAATCATATAGCACAGGCATCATGCATGCAGCATGCTCAGGGTTTCTTAATAAGCGTGGGGGGGTACCTCCCTGGTCGGCGCGCCTTCGGCGCGCGGTGGCTGCCCGCGACGAGGATCGATATGGGGCTGTCGGCGGGAGTGACGCCCCCCCCCCCCGACGCTTATCAAGAAACTAGGAGTAAGTTATCGTTACCCTAGAGGCATGGCCAGAAGGTGCCCACCACGGCGCTCATACTATCCGATTTATCGGCGCGCGCGTCGCCCATTTGGGTGGCGCTGGAGGCACGGGCGGGAGCAGCAGCAGCTCCCAGATCCTCGACGGCAGGCACGATTGCGTTTTCCTGGCCGTGCCATCGCCGTGCATGTTTCGGTGTCGTGCGCATTGCTGTTTCGCGAGAGGGTCCAGGATGCTCCTCGATGGTCCGCCCCGCAAATGCACACATCCGAGCGATGCCTCGGGGCTCTACTGGAGGGGCCAACAGCGGCATAAACATAGACTTTGGGAGCTCCGCGCGGGTTCCTTGGACGCCGGACCCCCTCCCTGGCGCGCGGAGCGCGCCAGGGGCGGCGCCACCAGGGGGAACCAGCGCCGATCTGAGACATCAGTGCGGCGCTCCGACAGCGTACAAACGAGCGTTGACCCAAGGAACCCTAGATAAGGAACGAGGCCCCTTAGATCCACAAGTTGGACTTCGATAGCCCATCGAAAACCGAAGCAAAACCCACGGCAAACTGCGAAACAACTACGGAACACGGAGCCCCTCCCCAACGAAGAGGGTTCCTTTTTTTCAGCGCCCCGACCGTATGCTTCTGCCGTCTCTTGCTCCTCGACCTCCGCCCCGAGATGGCCCCCGAGGCCGCCAGCACGCAGCAGGAGCGTTCGGCTGTCGGGACCGGCCAAGAGGGGGGTGTCCAAGAGGGGGGGTGCAAATCATGACCGGCGGCATGTGCGCGGACCAGCGGGGGGGCCAGGGACGTAATGAGATGAGAAGAGGCGCCAGAAGATCTGGGGAAATATCATGGCCCCCGCCATGATATCCACCCCCCCCTAGTCATCACCCCCCTCTTTTCCGCCCCCGAATACCTGCCCCTCCTCCGTTCCCTTCGTCCTCCTCCTCCTCCTCCTCCTCCTCGTCCTCCTTCTCCTCCTCGTCATCCTCCTCCTCCTCCTCCTCCTCTTCCTCCTCCTCGTCCTCCTCCTCGTCCTCCTCCTCCTCGCTCCCTTCGTCGCTCGCGAGGCTGGCGTGCCGCGGCGGCGGCCCAGGGCGGCACGCTGGGCCCTGCAGGCGGAAGAAGAGCGCGCCTCGCCCCGCGCCCCGGCGCGGGAGGCCCGGAGCGGCTCGGGGCGGTGGCGCTCGGGGGCCGCGGCACGGTCCGCGCGTCGCGCCGAAGGGCCGCAGGTCAGGACGCCGAGCTGACGTTTCTGCCTGTGGTGCACCACGGACAGGCCACGGGGGAATGCACGCGATCCGCCGCAACGACAATTACAGCACAAACAACAACAACAACAACAACAACAACAACAACAACAACAACAGCAACAACACCAACTACAACAACCACAACAACAACAACCACAACAACAACAACTACAACAACAACAGCAGCAGCAGCAACAGCAACAACAGCAACAGCAACAGCAACAACAACAAGAACAACAACAATACTACTACTAACAACCGCAACAACAACAAGTCACCACAAACACAACGACAACCACAGCAACAACAACCACAACAGCACCACCAATACTACTAACAACTGCAACAACATCACGTCATCACAAACAACAACAACAACAACAACAACAACAACAACAACAACAACAACAACAACAACAATTACTAGCACGTGGGGACACTCCGTTCTCACCAGTGCCAGGGTTTTCATAGGAGGCGGGCAATACCCCCACTTTGTGGGGGGGCCGGTTCAAGCTCTACCAAATTTCCAAACGACTCTTCGCCACCACCCACACCCAGCTTCCCGCCCTATGACGTTCGGACACTTCACTTCGTGGCATGCGGACGACCGTGGCTACTATTCAGGGCCCCGCGGCCGACGACGACGGCGTGCGCGCGCGAAGAAAAAACGAATGTGTCCCGCATGGTATTATTTGACAGGGATGATGGCCCTGGCAGGTGCGCAACCGTTGTTGCAGAAGTTCGAAAAAGTTGCTCGCAAAAGCCCGTTTGACAGAAATGATTAAAAAGTGTTGGGTTTCCTACGAATCCGCAAGAGCGCGCGGGATGAAATTTTGACATTTTTTTTGAAAAACCATTGGTTTTTTGATGTTTTTATGTTAAAATCGCTACGAAAACTAAGGTTTTGGAAGGATTTCGTCTTGCGCGCGCGAATGTCCACTTTACCTTATTTTTTGCAAGGGATTCTTGAAGTTTGGTTATGTTAGAACAAGAAATGTCCACTTTAGCTTATTTTTTGCAAGGGAAAACCGATCGTAACAACACAACCGGATCCGGACCAACCCGTTTTGCCTGAGACTTCCTCACGAAAATGATGAAAATGAGGCTGCGGCCTAGGCGCGGCGGGGGGGTCGCGCACCAGGGGTCCCAACAATAATTATTCTTTAGAAGTAATAATGTTCAACAACAACAACAACAACAACAACAACCACAACAACGACAACAACAACAACTACAACACCACCACCACCAACAACAACAAAAACAACAACAACAACAACAACAACAACAACGACAACAACAACAACAACGACAACGACAGCAACAACGACAACAACAACAACAACAACAACAACACCAACACCAACAACAACAACAACAACAACATCAACAGTACTACTGACAACCGCAACAACAACAAGTCATCACAAACACAACAACAACCACCACAACCACAACCACCACTACACCACCAACTACACGCCGCCGGCGCCGCGCCGCCGAGGCGCCGCCTCGTGGTCCGCCGCCACCGTCATGCACTCGCCCTTCACGGACTCCAGGGCCTCGGGCGGCGGGCGCGCACCGCGGCGGCGGCGAGGGGCGCGGAGGAGGCGGGGCGGCGCGGGCGCCCCGGGGCCTCGCCGCCATCAACGAGCAGCCGGGTGCGCGCCCCGCGGAGCGCGGAGGGGCGGAGCGCCAACGGCCCCGCGCGCTCGCGCCGCCACGCCCCGGGGGAGAGAGGAGGGCGGGGAAGGCGAGGAGGAGGACGAGGAGGGCGGGGAAGGCGAGGAGGAGGGCGGGGAAGGCGAGGAGGAGGAGGAGGAGGAGGAAGGCGAGGAGGAGGGCGGGGAAGGCGAGGCGGAGGAGGTAGAGGAGGAAGAGGAGGCGGAGGAGGTAGAGGAGGAGGAGGAGGAGGACGAGGAGGAGGAGGAGGAAGAGGAGAAGGAGGAGGAGGAGGAGGAGCAGAAGGAGGTAGAGGAGGGGAGGAGGGAGGAGGAGGAAGGGAAAAAAAATCGCGAATCGAGAACCGCGAACCGCGAGTGGCTGGCTTCGTGGCCTCGTGGCGGCCCTAGCGCCATCGCTGCCGCCCGTCCTCTTGGAGTTGGCTGCGGCGGCTTCGTGTCTTGACTAACTCGCGCGCTGGCCTACGTCAGGGATCGGACCGAGCTCGCCGGACCCGACAGGCGCCAGAAGGCAGGCAGATGAGGATGACGAGGACAGGGACGTTGCCGTCGGCAAGACCTTACCACGCATGCACGGGAAGACTGGCAGGAGGGAAGAGATGAGGGAGCAGGAGGGCGACGAGGAGATGGTAGAAGCGGAGAAGGAAGAGGAAGAGAAGGAGGAGGAGGAGGAGGAGGAGGATGAGGAGGAGGAGGAATAGGAGGGAGGGGAAGGAAGAAGAGAGGAGGAAAGTCGCTTGATTAGATTTGAACTCCGTTAATCAGCGGGCCCCTACTCCAATCATTGGCGGATTGTCCCGGATCAAAGTAGGAAGACGTGCACTGCCCACGAAGGAGGAGGGATCAGGACGAGGAAGAGGAGGAGGGACCCAGGGGGAGGGCCAGGATGCTCGGCGCGAGGCCAAGGACGAAAAGGTGGACGCTAGGACGCCGCGACGGCGTTGGCGTCCGCCAGCGCTTTCACCGTCATGCCCAGGTCCTGCGCGCGCCGCTGCGAAGGCCCCCAGGGGGGCACGGCGCCGACGGCACAGCGCATCGCTCCACGCAGCCCTGCAGCCGTGCCGTTGCTCCTCCTCCTCCTCCTCCTTCTTCGCCTCCTCATCCTCCTGCTGCTCTGCCATCCTCTTCCTCCAGAAACAGATTCATCATCGTCCTCATCCTCATCCTCATCATCATCGTCATCATCACCACCACCATCACCACTACCACAACTTCCACCAACACAAGAAATACAATAAGAATAATAATAATACTAAGCATCATCATCATCATCATCATCATCATCAGCAGCATCATCATCCTCAGCATCAGCATCAATGTCATAACCATCAGCATCAGCATCATCAATATCATCATAAGCAGCATCATTAACATCATCAACCTCATCATCGTCAAGACCGTGATCATGATCATCATCAGCATCACAATCATCATCATAATCTTAATCAGCATCATCATCATCATTAACATCATTATCATCGTTAGCATCATACCAAAACAACCACCAACACAATCACCGCCACCATCACCACAACAACCAACGCTATAACAAATCCGCCGACCCTGTCGGCGTGTGTGAGGGGCTTGTCCGTTCGACTCGTCATCTCCGTCATTCGTTAGTCGTCGTCTCTGTCGTCTCCTTTCCCCTGCGCCCCCCCTTTCCCTGGGCCCGTCGCCGCTCCCCTCTCCTTCCCCAGCGCCTCCTCCTCAAGCGCGCCAGCCAAACCGAACTTGAGCAACGTCGTAATTGAGTCGAAGGGAAGCCCCTTCCCTTTGATCCCTCCCCCGCCGGGAGGGGGGGGGGGGTCCCGGGGGGGGGTCCCGGGGGGGTCCCGGGGGGGGGTCCCGGGGGGGGGCGCGCGTCAGATACGACGCCCCCTCCCCGGGGATCCCGGGGCCCAGAAAAGCCCGTCGCCGCTCCCCTCTCCTTCCCCAGCGCCTCCTCCTCAAGCGCGCCAGCCAAACCGAACTTGAGCAACGTCGTAATTGAGTCGAAGGGAAGCCCCTTCCCTTTGATCCCTCCCCCGCCGGGAGGGGGGGGGGGGGTCCCGGGGGGGGGTCCCGGGGGGGTCCCGGGGGGGGGTCCCGGGGGGGGGCGCGCGTCAGATACGACGCCCCCTCCCCGGGGATCCCGGGGCCCAGAAAAGCTCCAAGACGGGCCAAGAGTGCCCCAAGAGGCCTCCAAGACGGTCCAAAAGGGCCCCGAATCGCCGAACGACTTGTCCAAGACGCCTTGACGGACTCCAGACGACCCAAGAGCCCTGCAAGACGCTCCAAGAGGCCTACCAGGAGCACTCCCAAGACGGCCCCAAGAAGCTAAATTCATTGATTTCCTATTGTTTTTTGAATGATTTTGGCGTTCTCGACTCTTCCCCTTCCCGACGCTCCAAGACACGCCAAGAGGCCCCCAAGATCGCCCTAAGACGGCCCAAGAGGCCTCCAAGAGGGTCCCAAAACGGCCCAAGAAAGCGCAAAGACGGCCCAAGACGTCTCCAAGACGGTCCTAGAGGCGCCCAAGACGGCTCCAAGAGGGTGCCCAGATGCGGGACCCGACCTGACATGTCGAGCTCTCAGCCCTGAGAGGCTCCCAGGAGGCCCCAAGAGGCTCCAGGAGGCCCCCACGAGGCCCCAAGGAGGCCCCCAGGAAGCTCCAAGAGGCCCCCAAGCGACTCCCAACAGGCCCCCAAACTGCTCCCCAGAGACCCGAAAGAGCGCTCCAAAGAGACCCCACGAAGCATCCCAGGAATCTCACCCACGTCAGCGTCGTCGTCGTCGTCGTCGTCGCCGCCGCCGTCGTCGTGTGACAGCACACCCGACGACGACGATGACGACGACGACGACGACCACAGCGCACTGAGCCAGCCCGCGCCGCCCCGCCGGTGGGCCGAGCCGCGCCCGCCGCCCCCATGAAGGCGGCACGGGCGCCCCTGGCCGCAACCTCACGCCTCGTGAGGCCTCCAGGGTCGGCGGCACCGGCCGTAAGGCCTTCGCAATATCAGCCCTTTCAGAAGCATCATCACCGACATCATCAGCATCCGCGTTATCCTCACCATTACCATCATCATCATCACCATCATCAGCATCATCATCATTACCACCACCATCATCATCCTCATCATCATCAGAATCGGCGTCATCATCATCATCATCATCATCATCACTATCATCATCATCATCTTTACCGTCATCAGCATCATCATCAGCATCATGACCAGCATGTTCAGCACCATCATGATCAGCATCATCATCATCAGTATCATCACCATCATCAGCATCAGCATCATCATCATCGGCAGCATCACCCTCATCAGCAGCACCCCCATCAGCATGATCAACATCAGCAGCATCGACAACAGCATCCTCATCCTTTCACGCCCCCCCTCCTCCTCCTCATCATCATCGTCGTCACCATCAGAATCGCCATCATCGCAATAATAAGCACAAGCATCTTCATCACCATAATCATAATCAACATCAACATCATCATCACCATCAGCATCAGCATAATCATCATCGTCATCATCATCATCGTCACTAGCATCATCATCAGCTTCATGACCATCGACAATCCCCTCATCAACGTCATCATAATGATCAGCAGCATCAAAATACGCATCCTCAGCATAGAGATTCACATACCCCTCCTCCCCCCGCATTATCATCATCAGCAACAACAGTCACAGCATCATCCACGTCGCCACCGCCGTCGGACATACAATCGCCAGTATCAGCATCAGCAACAGCATCGTCATCCTCGTCTTCATCCTGGCCATCCTTCTCATCAGCATCCACAGCATGATCCTCACCACCATCATCATCACCATCATCATCATCATCATCACCATCAGCATCATTATCACCATCACCAGCATCATCCATCTACCCATCGTCATAACCCTCATCATTACCAGTATCATCATCATCATCATCATAATCAGCAGCAGCATCATCATAACTATCGCTATCGTCATCGACACCGCCATCAGCATCGTCATCAACATCAACATCAACAACAACATAACCCCCATCCTCATTACATTCCGCCTCCTCCTCATGTTCCTCATCCTACTGATCCTCACTCTCATCCTCCTCATCCTCCTCCCCATCCTCCTCACCATGCTTAATCCTAATCCTCCTCCTCCGGTTGCTCCTTAACAACAGCATCAAAATCATCATCATCAGCATCAGCGCCTCATCCTCGTCATCATTAGCAGCATCAACATCCTCATCCTCACCCTCATGCACTTCTTGTCAAGCTCATCCTCCTCATCGTCCCCATCCTCCCTTCTCATCCGCCTCCTTATCATCATCATCATCATCAGCAGCATCATCATCATCCTCCTCATCCCCATCATCATACTCCTCGTCATGCAAGTCCTCCTCATCATCAGAGTCCTCATACGCGTCCTGATTCCTGTCATCATCAGCATCATCATTATCAGCATCGCCATCGTCATCATCATCACCATCATCACCATCATGATCAGCATCATCAGCATCAATACCAGCATGATCAGCATCATCATCATCAGCAACAGCATCATCATCAACATCTGAGTCGTCGACAACATCCTCATCATCATGCTCATCATCATCCTCTTCATCACCCTCCCTCCGCAATCTTCTCGTCACCCTCATCATCTACATCGTCATCACCCTCGTTCAGCGCATCCAGATCATCCTCTCCATTCGCATCATCAGCATGATCTAAGTTCTGCTGCTCATCCTCAGCACTCTCCTCCTCCACCGTCGAATCCTTCTCCTCAACATCCACAAGATCATGGTCATCCTCACCATTATCATAAGCATCGACCTTCCTCTGATCGTCGAAATCCGCATTTCCATCGTCATCATCCTCCGCATCCTCAGCATCATTATCATGACCATCATCATCACCATCATCATCAGCATCATCGTCATCATCCTCACGTTCATTCTCGTCTTCCTGATCCTGATCATCATCCTCCTCATCCTCTTGCGCATTATCATAATCGGTATCAGCAGCTTCGTCGTCAACATTACCATGTTTATCATCGTCAGCATCATCACCAACATAACCCTCAACAGAATCATCACCATCATCATCTTCATCCTCCTCATCCGAATCGTCCGACTCGTCCTTGTCATCCTTGTTAGCTGCATCCGTATCACCCAACCACCATCACCAGCATCATCATCATCAGCATCATCATCATCATCATCGTCATCGTCAACATCATTAGCCTCCTCATCAACACCCACAACGTCCTGCTCCGAACCCTCAGCATCCCATCATTCACATCCCCCTTATCGTCGTAAACATCATCAACAGGGTCATCGTCATCATTATCATCATCAGCATCATCATCCGTATCAACATCTACCTCATCATCAGCATCATCATCATCAGCATCATCACCATCCGTGTCCTCCTGATCCTCGTCATTATCCACGTCATGATAAAAATCATCGGCATCACCATCTTCATCCGCAGCCTTCCCGTCCCCATCCTATTCCTCATCAGTATCATCCTCTCCCTCCTCATCCTCATCCGCATCCTCAACATCATCCGCATGCGCATCGCCAGCATCGCAACCAACATCGTCGTCATCCTCATCCGCACGATCATACGTATCTCCATCCACATCTTCCAAATTCTCATCAGCAGCCTCGTCATCGTCCTTTTCATCGACAGCAGCATTACCAGCATCATCAGCAGCATCGTCATTACCATCCGCATCCTCACCCTGGGCATCGTCATCTACATCCCCGTCAACATCAACAACAACAACATCATCATCATGATCATCATCATCATCATCATCATCATCATCTTCATCACCATCATGAACATCATCAGCATGAGCATCATCATCATCATCATCATCGTCACTAGCATCGACAACATCATCATCATCCTCGTCAGCATTGTTATCAGCATCGCCAGTCACGGCATCGCCATCCGCATCATACTCTGCGTTCTCGATCGCATGATCATCGTCATGATCATCTCCAGCATGATCAGCATCATCGGCAGTTTATTCAGCACCTTCTTCATGGTAATCCTCATCATGGCCAACATGAGTATCATCATCATCCTCATCAACATCCACATCATCAGCCTGACCATGCATGATCATCCTACGCATCATCGTTGACAGCGTCGTCATCAGCATGTCCATCATCATCATCAGCAACTTCACCAACATCCTCATCATTGTTGAAATCGGCATAAACATCATCATCGTCGTCGTCGACGTCATCATTCTCACCCGCAATCTCCCTCATCCTTATCATCGTCTTCGCTGTCTTCATCAGTATCACCGTCATCATCCACGCCATCTCCCTCCCATCAAAAACAACAGCAACGTCTTCATACGTACCATCAGAATACTCTTCGGTCTCATCATTCATATCAGCTCCGGTACCATCAGCAGCAGCACCATCATCATCCTAACATCACTATCGCCTTCATACTCGCCCTCGGAATCAGCAACATCCGACTCCTGATCATCATCATCATCGTCGTCGTCGTCATGATCATCACCATCATCACCACTGTGGTCGTCGTCACCATCATCGTCACCATCATCATCAGCATCAGCATGATCATCACATTCCTTCTCCTCATCATCATCATCATCATTAGCATCAGTGCCAACATCAACAGTCTCATCATCATGCGCATCGCATCATCATAAGCATCGGCATCAGCAGCATCAACTATGCCATCACTATTAACATCCGCATCACCATCTTCAACATCGCGCATCCGCATCACCATCTTCAACATCGCGATCGCCATCCACATCCTCCATCGTCATCATCCGAATCAGCATCATCCTCAGCATCGTCATCGTGATCGTCGTCCTCATCGTCATCCTCAGCATCGTCCTCACCCTCCTCATCCCGAGCATCACCCTCATCTCCATCAGCATCATCATCATCGGCATCATTGCCATCCGCATCCTCAACATCGCCACAATGGTTGTCCTCATACGCCCGATCATCGTTACCATCACCATCGTCATTCTCGTCCACACATCCCGCATACGCATCACAATCAGCCGTGCCATCGGCATCATCAGCCTCATCAGTGGCATCGTCATACGCCTCATCATCAGCGTCATCCGTATCGCCGGCGTCGTCCTGATCATCAGCATCGTTATCAACATCATCCATCGCATCGACATCATAACCATCATCAGCATCAACAGAGGTATCGTCATCATCGCCAGCATCATCATTAGCAGCATCAGCATCATCACCAACATCCTCATCAATATCATCATCGGCTGGGCAACCAAAATCATGCTCCTCGGCATCCCCATCGCCATCACCACCGTCATCATCATCGTCCTCATCCACATGCTCATCATCCTGATCCTCAGCAACGTCATCCTCATCATCATCCTCAGCGCCATAACCCTGATCATCCTCATCATCATCGGCTGGAGAGTAACCCTCAACCTCGTCCTTCTCATCATCACCATCCGCATCCAAATCATCCTCATCCGTACCATCATCTCCCTCGTCACAATCATCATCAACATCATACTCGGCATCAGAATCATAGGCATAAGCATAATCACACTGATCATCTGACTCGTCCTCATTCTCACCATTCACATACCCATACTCACCCTCATCATCAGAATCAGCGAACGTCCGTGTCATCGTCGCCGTCATATTCGGCATCATCATAATCAACATCATCAGCATACTCATTCGCATCCTGATCATCAACGACATGATCATAAACATCCGCGTCATCAACATCATCCGTATCATCACCATTATCATCAGCATCAGCATCATAACCGCTATCAGCACCATCATCATCATCATCATCATCATCAGCATCATCATCATCGTTAGCAGCACAATCATCATAATCGTCATCATGAATAGCATCATCATCATAATCGTCATCATCAGCATCACCATCATCATATTCGCCCAAGTCATCATAACCATCATCATCATGACCAGCTTCATCATCAGCTCATCATGATCTTCATAATCAGCAGCAACATCATAATCGTGGTCGTCGTGGTCATCGTCGTCATCGGCACCCTCCCATCATAATCCTAATCAGAATCTTAATTATCATCAACAGCAAGATCAGCTCTCACAATCATTATAAAAAGTATCAGCATAATCACCGTCGCCATCATCAGCATCATCACCATTGTTATCATCATCAGCATCACCATCGTCATCAACATCGTCATCATCATGATCATCACCATCACCATGATCATTGTGGTCATCACCATCACCATCATCATCATCATCATCATCATCATCATCACCATCATCCCCATCATCATCCTCATCGTGGTCATCATCAGCAGCAAACAAGAGCAGCAAGAGCAGCATCAGCATCATCGTCATCATCACCACCATTATCATCCTCATCGTACTCATCATCGTCTCCTCACTCTCAGGCGTGCGGGCGCACGACCGGTCTGTTCCGCTGGAGCCCGCGCCGTGCCGCGCGGCGCGCCCGCGCGGCACGGCGCAAGACCCTAACTACTTCCGACGGCCTCCGAGAAATCCAGGAAGCCTCGAAGAGCGGGCATCCTCATCCTCGTTATCATCCTCATCCTCGTTATCATCCTCATCCTCATCCTCATCCTCGGCCTCATCATCCTCACCTCCTTCGATCATGCGCAATCCCTCCGCCACAGGTGGCCGGCGCAGCCGCTCCGAGGTGTCCGAGGCCTTCTCCTCCTCGGCCGCCTGCTTCGCGGCCTCCCCCGCGAGTCGGCGGCCGCCGCCGGCCGCCGCCGCCGTCGACGCTGTCGCGGTGGTAGTCGCGGTGGCGGTCGCCGTCGACGCCGACGTCGACGACGCAGGCCGTCTTGGCGGTCGTCGTGGTCGGCGGCTTCACCCACGAGGCCGGCGTCGTCGCGGTCGAGGTCGTCGTCGTGGCCGGTGCAGTCGATGTCGTCGCCGTCGGCGTCGCTGTGGTCTCCGTCGTCGCCGCCGCCACCGCCGCGCCCGGTCGTCGGCTGTCGTCGGTCGTGGCGGCCTTCGCCGTCGGAAGTGGGAGCAGGAGGGAGGAGGCGAGGACGGAAGGGCGGGGGGTGGCGGGAGGGGGGGGGAAAGAGAAGAAGAGGAGAGGAAGGAAAAGCGAGGGAGAGAGGGAGGAGGGCTACGGGAAGAAAGAAGCGAAGCGAACCAAAACTTCGTGAACAGAAACTTTGGGTGGTCCACGAGGGCTTCTTGGATCGGCGCTGGCCAACCCAAGCGGCGCATTCGAGACATCTGCGCGGACCTCTCAAAATGTATTCTTATGCACTTGTGTCTCTTGCCGTCGCTCGGTCGCTCGGTACCGTGCGTGTTTTTCTTGCTCGATGGTCCAGGATGGTCCTCAATGGTTCTCGCCGAGAAAAAATGCACACCTCCGAGCGATGCCAAGCTATTCTCTGCGGGGCAACGACACAGGGGGGCACCGGCTCCAGGGGGGGGCAGACACTGCGCAGGAAGCGGCGAGACCACGCCAATAGATCGGCGACAGGCCCCCGAGGGCGATACCACGCGGCCAGGGGGCCGCCGCGTCCTCCTCGACCTTCTCCTTCGAGGGATACCGCTTGGGGGGGACCGGCTCAGGGGGGGGGGCAGTGGGGGGGGGCAATCGACCTGGAATCGGCGAGGCATCGCTGATAGATCGGCGATGGGCTCTCGACGGCGGAACCGCACGCTCCTGGTTGGGGTGGACTGTCGGCCCCCCATCGGCGACCAATGTGGGAATGGGGGTCGATGCATCCCCCCTAGCGTTACCCCTGAGAGGGGAAGAGAAGGCGATCCACATCTCTCTCGTCTCCTTCACGCCCCCCGAGGTCTGCCCAGCGTAGCCTTCTCGTCTGCCATGTCCTTGTTGTCGTTGTTGTTCGCGTCTGTCAGGCTCTGCTTCAGCATCTCGTAGTTCCTCGGTACGCGTGGGAAGGGCGGGAGCGCACCACGAGGACCATCCGACGCTCTGTCCGACCATGGTGGTAGAGAACTGCGGGTGATTATACATATGTATATACAGCTATTCGTGGTTATCATCACCACCATCATCAGCATCATCATCATCATCATCACCATCAGCATCATCATCATAATCAGCAGCATCATCATAATTGTCATACTCATCAGCATCTTCATCATCACCATCCTAATTATTATCGTCCTCGTCATACTTACCATCATCATAATGATTGTCGTCGTCATCATTATCCGCATCGTCGTCGTCTCCGTCGCTATCACCATCATTATAATCATCCTCATCATCATCATCAGCATCATCGTCGGCCTTGACATGGCCAATCATCATCAGCACCAGCATCATCATTGTCGTCGTAGCTATCATCATCATTATCATCAGCAATAGCAGCAGCATGCTCATCAAATCATCACCATCGTCATCAGCAGCATCAGCGCCATCGCCATCACCACCACTCTCTTCATCGTCATCAGCGTCATCATCGCCACCATAGCACTCATCATCACCTCCAGAACAGTCCTCATCATCACCATCACCATCATCATCATCCTCACGATCATCATCAACACCATCATAATCATCATCACCACCAGCATCCTCATCATCACCATCCTCATCATCCTCATTATCGTAGCCGCAATCAACAACATCATCAACATCACAATCGTCGTCATCGTCATACAGTCAACCCGCATAGTAAGGATGCGCGATAAGGGTGCAAGGGCCTTAGACGCCTGTTTCGAAGCTGTCCGAGCGGGGCGCGGCCAACGAAAGTGGCCAAGGATGGGCCGAGGAGGCAAGGATGTAAGGATACCCGTGGGAAGGTTGCCCATCCTTACTCTGCGGGTTGACTGTAGTAAGTGTCACCATCATCGTCACCATGAGATCATCAACATCACCATCGTCACCATCATCTCGTGCCCCTTCTCAACATCACCGTCAGCCCCTCCTCATTCCCCCAAACATCGCCCACGCATCGCCCCCCTCCCTCAATACGCCCGACAAACTGTGCAGCACGACGCGGAAGAAGACGGAGGAGAGAACGGCCGCGAGGGATCCCCGTCCGGCCCAGTCAGCTCCCAGAGACACTACTACAGCCGCGGCCGCGAGGAGGACAAGCATAGAAGAAAAACTACAAAATATGACCTTGCGAAGGTCCGCGATCATCTCTTGGATCGGCGCTGGGCCCCCCTTCCCGGCGGAGCGCGCAAAGGGCCCGTGACGACTTTGGCGTTGGCTCGAGCTGGGCGTCGGTAGAGGGAAACAATTACTGAACACTTCCCCTCCACCCCAACCTCAATGTTGGCACGCGCGGGAGACTGCGATCGAAGTGCATCTCATCAGACCCACCGCCCAGTTTGAACACTGGGGGGAGGGGGAGCCGGTGACAGATGGATGTGGCATCACGAGTGTTCGCTGATTTTGTTCCGAGGCCTGGTGGTCGCCCTTCCTGTCCAGGCCCCGATACCCTCGCAGATCCATCCCGCTCGAGAAACGGCGCGGAACATGAGAAATCTGGGGCCCCGCTCACGATGCTGCACCTCCTCCGCCACGCCGGATCTCAGGAGCCGCCGCGCCGACACGACGCGAACTTGCCGCGCGCTCAAGTCGGGCATGTCCCCCTACAGGCGGATTTGGGGCGAAAAATAAAAAATGCCAAACAAATAATCCAGACATCTTCAACAAATACTGACTATGATTGGACTATGTTTCGACTATGTTTCGTCTATGTCAAACAAATGTTTCGACTATGTTTCGACTATGTCACCAGACTATGTTTCGACTATGTTTGGATCTTCCTCCTGTAGAGGGACACGCCCGATTTAACCGTGCGCGCTCTTCCGAAGGACCCCCTCGCATAGAGGCCAAACATATTTATATTTCGCTGGTCGGCCTGCAGATTTCGGTTTACTGGCCATCAGTCCCAAATGATCGCTGACCACGATGAGGCCGACATCTGCGCGACGCGACGCCAACTGTGCGAATCGACCGAGTTTGCTTTTGTAAGGAGCGCCCAGCACGGAGTCACACGACAACTGGACGCCATGGCCCGCCGCCTGAAAAGAACCAGCAAGGCGCCAATGGCGCTCTCTGGGCGGCCGGGGAGCTCGGGGGTTCCACGTCGGCCTGAACGCGCCGAGAAACGACCCTGGGCGCCCAGTGAAAGAACCCCAACCCGTCGCCGAGACGTCTCCAGGAGCTCCCACATCGACGCAAGTGGGCCCAATAGCTACGGCAGGTTCGTGTCGTGCCGACCCCAGCGTTGGTTTTTGACACCGCAGGGATCGTTCAACCTTGAACGATCGGCCGCTGCCGCAACGTCCGATCGTTCAACATCGATCGATTCTGGGTCGCCGGCGGCGTTCAACCTTGAACGCCCGCGCTGGGGTCGCCGCTGGTCGACACGACGCAAACCTACCGTACACAAGGGGCCCTGGGATAGCCAGCAGGATACCCCGAGGAGGAGCACGACAGGCCCCAAGAGAGGCCCGAGACGCTCTTCAGCGAGCCCCCCGCAGAAGCGCGCAGGGAACCGCTCGCACCCACTCCGGACAGGGACGCAGCCCCGACCCGCGACTGGTGGCATGACAGATTTTGCGGCTATGGCCCAGTGTTTTTGGGTGGTACAACAAGGCTAGGATCGGGATAAATCGCTCCAGAGCGTTCCGGAGCGCCCTCAGAGCGTCCCGGAACGCTCTGGAGCGGCCGCGGCGCCCAATACGTCCTCCAACCCCGCCGATTCTCAGAGATTTCGAGTTATCCCGATCCGATTTTGTCCCGATCTTCGCGTCGTTTGTAGGGAGCCCACAAAGGACGTACGCGCCCAGCTATGTACATGAACACGGCCCCATGACCCGCGAGACCGGCCGCGTGATACGAGTGTTCGCGCAATGCGAAATCTCGAAAACAGCGTGGATTCATGTACGCTATGCGTCCTTCTTTCGCTCCTGAGTTTGAGGTGGGCCACCCGAAACACCAAAACCCAGACCCCCGACGTAATGAATTTTTCATTACGTCGACCCCCAGAGGTCTTGACCCTTTCCCCATAACCGGCTTTGCATCCCGAGTCGTTTTTTGACGCTCCTGAGGCCCGGTGAGGGCCCCCGGAGGCCGAAAATTAGGAAAAACATCCCGTCATGATTTTTTCATTACTCGAGGGGGTCTGGGAATATGTCATTTCACCGGTCCGGCCCGGCGGGGGCCCCCGGGGCGGGCGCCGCGCGCGCGCCCGGAGGGCGGGCGGGCCGACCGACGCCGGGCCGCGCCCTCGCCCGAGCGGCCGCGCGCCGAACGGCGGCGCGGCGCGCGCCGTCCCGCGCCTGAGGCCTGCGGAGAATATCGGGTCGGGCGAGGAGGCGGAGGACGAGGAGGAGGAGGACGAGGAGGAGGAAGACGAGGAGGAGGAGGAGGAGGAGGAGGAGGACGAGGAGGAGGAGGAGGAGGAGGAGGAGGAGGAGGAGGACCCCCTCCCCCTCCAACTGATGGTGATGGTGGTGGAAAATCGGGTCGGGCGAAAGGGGGGGATAGCAAAGGGGGGGTTTGAGAATCAGCTCACGTAGCTGATTTTTCCGGCGCCTCCCGGCGCCGGAGGCGGCCATGTATCGAGGAAGGGGCCCCTCGGTGAGGACGAAACCAGCTGCATGTGGCAAATTTCGTACCCCCCCCTTTCCCAATCCCCCCTTTTCGCCCGGCCCGAGAATAACGGTGCACACATTCGTTCGGGCATGGAAGTTCCCGTCGGCACTGCAGGGCAGCCCTGAAAGGCGCGATGACTGGACGGGATCAAGCCGCGACTATATAGGCACATGTGGCCTCAATGTCTTTTCGGGGGCCGCTCGAACCAACCGAAGGGCCGATGCGTCGCGCGTCGCGTCGCTTTTCATCAGCAAATGAAAGCTCACATACAGCGCGCGCGACATTCTCGAGGAGCCCAGCGGCATCTTGCGATGGCCACGCTCGCTTGGTTCACGCGTTCCACGGAGGCAGCAGGCAGCGAAACGAAGAGCGCGCCGTGTAATAATTAAATTAAGCGTCTGCGATCGACAACCCAAACAACCAGAACAATGTGTATATATATATATATATAGATTTCTGGTCCAGGCCCGCGCCCCGCGCCCGACCCCCGCCAGAGCCGCCGGAGCCGGGCGCCGCGCTGCTTGGCGTTCGTCTCCGCCTTCCTCAGGGCCGCCAAGTCCTCCTCGGCCTTCTCCTTCGAGGGGCAGCGCTAGGGTTAGGCCGGGCCTGTCCCCCTACAGGCGGATTTTGGGAGGAAGGATTGGAAACACTCCAAACATGCTCCAAAATAGCCCAAAAATAAAAGGAGCATCGTCCCCAGACCATTGTTGGACTATTCTTGCATATTCCCCCTGTAGAGGACAGGCCCGCCTCAACACAAGGGGGGGGGAGGGGGAGAACCGGCTCCGGGGGAGAGGCATCGACCTCTCGGCCGGGGGGCCGCAAGGTCCTCCTCGGCCCTCGGCCTTCTCCCATTCGACGTTGGTGGGGAGCGGCTCGGGGGGGTGGGCAATGACGGGCCTGTTTTCCACCACCACCACCACCACAAGTTGGAGGGGGGAAGGAGGCGGAGGAGGAGGACGAAGAAGAGGAGAAAGAGAAGGAGGAGGAGGAGGAGGAGGAGGAGGAGGAGGAGGAGGACCCCCTCCCCCTCCAACTTATGGTGGTGGTGGTGGTGGAAAACAGGCCCATCAGACAAACCTCCCTTTAGTAAACCTCCCTGTGCCCAGTGAAAACGGCCTGGGACCGAAAGCGACGGACCTGGACCGCGGCGCCCTCCCGCGACTCTCGCGAAGCGAAAAAACGGCCAGGGGGCCTATCAACCTCCGAGCCTTGCCCTTCGATGCCGGTGGGGACCGGCCCAGGGGGGGGGTTGAAGGTCGCTGGGGGGGCAGCGTTGTTCCCAGGGCCAGATCCCCGTACGCTCGGCGGGCGCGCTTGATCGGTCAACAGCAATCCTTACTGCCGCCCTTCGCGAGAAGCTCTGATCCCAGGCTTGCTCTTGCCGACGATTGGGCTCTGCTCATGCTTGCTCTTGCCCTACAAGGCATTGCCCCCTCCCCCGTCGCCCCAGAAGTACAGATCGCGTGCGCTACCCCTCAGCGAGCTTCAACCCTTGGCTTGGGTCGCGAAACGCAGGACACAAGGACACCAAGGGGCACCCTTGACTTGGAAGGGCCCACCCACACCCACCAAGATCAAGGTCGACCTGCAGCCCCCGCACTCCACCTCCGAGCCTTCCCCTTCGATGCCGGTGGGGACCGGCCTGGGGGGGGGGAGGACGAGGAGGAGGAGGAGGAGGAGGAGGGGGAGGGGGAGGAGGAGGACGAGGAGGAGGAGGAGGAGGGAAAGGAGGAGGAGGAGGAGGAGGAGGAGAGGAGGAGGCCCTTCGATGCGGCGGGCGGGGCCGGGGGGGGGGGGGGCCGGCCACATCGGCCTGGAGGCGGCGGTGCGTCGTCGACAGGTCGGCGATGGGCCCTCGACGCCGGAGCCGCGCGCTCCCGGGCGGGGCGGCAGGTCGAGCCTCCGGCGGCGAGCAGTGAGCAGTTCGGGGGGTCGCCGCATCCGCCCCTGCAGTGGGCAAGCCTTCCACCATCACCACCACCACAAGTAGGAGGGGGATGGGGGTCCTCCTCCTCCTCCTCCTCCTCCTCCTCCTCCTCCTACTCCTCCTCCTCCTCTTCTTTCTCCTCTTCTTTCTCCTCCACCTCCTCCCCCCGTCCAGCTTCTGGTGGTGGTGGTGGACAACAGGCCCATCAGCCCCTGAGCCTATCCCCTCTAAAGCTGCCCCTGATCCTTCAGGTCCTCCAGCAGGTCCAGGATGTCGGACGAGTGCGACCTCGGCAGCGCCCGGGAAGACGCTCCAATTGTCACCGACGCCGATGGGCCCGTCATAGGATCTCCGAAGACTTTTGACCCCTTCAATCCTGGCGCCCCCCATCGACTTCGGCCCCCTGGAGCCCGCTTCTCAGAATACCGCCCGTGACTGGCCCCGCCCCCCCCCCACTTCCCCCCCTCCCACTGGCCATCGCTCGGACGTCCATTCCCTGTGTTTTTGTTCGGTCTCGTGCGTGGTTTTTTCGCCAATTGATCAAGGATGCTCCTCGATGGTCCTCGCCGAAGGAAACATGCACACGCCCGAGCGATGCCGAGCCCATGGCCACGTCACGACTCGCGCCGGCGCCGTCTGGATATGGGCCATCCTCAGGCAATCCCAGGCAGCGCCGCTGCGCATCGTGACGCGAGCAGCCCCCTCCGCGCCCCCTGGTCGCGCCAAGGGATACAACATCCCCCGTGGCTCGCCACTGGGCCCCTGGACTCTCAAGAACTGCTCCAGGGGGCAAAAGCACTAACCCCGGGGAAGGTGGTGAGGCTTCGTCTGGCTTGTTCCATGAAGGGCAGCCCACCCCCACCTGAGCGACGGTCAAACAATGGTCTCACGCGAGATGACATAGCGACCTTCAGCGGTGGCTTAGGCAGGCCGCCACCACGGCCACGGCACGCCACATTGGAGACGAGGGCGCTTACGCGCGACCTTACGCGGGCAACTTGGGCACACACGTCGGCGCAAACGAACCCCGTTTTTTGCGTCGCTCACCTTGTATCAACTGCCACGCCTCAGCCGGCACAGTGGAACGGATCGCACTGCCACCGTAAACCCGAGGCGCCCGCCAGGAAACACGGCGCAGCTAACCAGCCTCGAACGTGTCCCTATCCCTAAGATGGGTGAGCAAAAAGCGAGGACAATCTCAAGGACGGGCCCTCAGAAACGGAGGGAATCCTTAAGATCGGCATCGAGGTGAGGTGATGTCAAACATAGAGATAGGGATATGTTTCAAACTTTAGACGCCCGAGTTATCCGGGGTAACTCGGGTCCGGGATAACTCGGGTTTGGGTTCCCGAAAAACGAACCCGAGTTAGCCCTGACCCGAATTACCCCTGATGAATCGGGGCTCTGGACGCCCGAAACATCCGGGGTAACTCGGGTCCGGGGTGACTCGGGTTCGGAATCCCG